TACTTTATGGGCAAAAACTTGGCTGAGATCCAGTCTCCCATTCCATATCCTGCAGGATAGGGGCGTTAGATGTGGAAAACGTTCAAGGTTGGTGTTATTAGTTACTGGCCCTGTTCAATCAGTTCTCAGTTCATGATCAAAATATTTTCACTTGGGGGAACTTGTCTTATTAACAGCCTGAGTGTAGACACTCTGATGATCACCATTTCCGGGATTCTCTATCGTATTAACTTATGTATTATTATTGTTTGCACTACTGAGGATTGAGCCCAGGACCTTTGCACTGAACTACTTTGCTCCTCCCCTTTTTGAAACAGGTCACTAAGCTGTCCAGCCTGGGCTCGAGGTTGCAATCCTCCTGCCTGAGCCTCACAGCGTGGTGAGATCACAGGCTGTGCTGCCAGGACTGGCTTTCTATCTTATTAATGCTTTGATATCACATTCAATGCCACGTTCTTCTCATTGTCAGCACCAAGTGGGATCAAAGTGCCCACCTTTCTTTCTCCCGCTTTAATCCCTCCTTCTTTCCTTTTCCTCCCTTATCTTCTGTCCATCAGAAGACAGCAGGATATACTTATATAGGTCAGAGGTGGCTTTGAATCCTGCCTCTGCCATTCATTTTATGACCTTAGATAACTTACTTGTCCTGTGACCATTTTTTCTTAGCTGAAAAACAGGAGTAACATCACCTTTCCCCTAGATTTGTGATGTGGAGCCAGTGTGATAACCATGTAAGATACAGAACACAGCACAAGTGGGTAGAAAAGACGAAGTGCAACTGGGTCCAAGGGGGAACTAAGAAATTTAGGAGTGGTTGGTGACAGGTACGATTTGTGCCTGATTCTTAGGTGCTATACAGAGCAGTAACTCAGCAAATGTACAGGACCGGGGGCAGAATGACAGTGCAGTGAATGTAGTGCATTTGTTTATTCATTCTCTCTCAGTATTTATTGAGCACCTGCTATGTGCCAGATGTGGATCTACGCACTCAGTTCTCACGGACTGCTGTTCCAGACTGGGAGAGACCCAACCAAACAGCCCTCTCCATTCAAAAGCTTCCTTTCCTATGAAGTTGGGCTCTGAAAAGATCATTGGTAGTTTGCAAATCTAAGTGACTAAGAGGAGTGTAGGGTTACAGTCCCTGGATGTAGATCCACTGGATAGAAGTGTGCAGTGGCTCTCCAAAGCTCTAGAACCAAGCACAGCTATTTCTTTCTTGATCATATTTGTGTTACAGGCTTCCTCCAAAGCTGATGGTATGTGCAACAGAAATCTGCTGAGCACTGAGTGACAAAAGGTTATACAACACATCTGATTTCTGGAACCAATCATACATTTCTACAGTCGTATAGTTGGTGTCTGGAGTCCCCTCAAAGCCTCATGCAGTCATGGGGGTGGTGTTTTTCAGATGTGGCTGAATATAGAGTTTGTAATTGGTTTATTGTCTAGTGCTGGGATTGGGGATAGGAGTGCTACACCAGCCCTGAAGGCGGCAGCCTGTATACAAAATAAGGGAGGAAAAGAGGCATGTTTCTCCCCTGTTGCTCTTGTTGCTTTTGCTATCTTCTGCCACCATGAACTGTTGCCCCTCTGCCACACCACTCTGCCTTGGAGCCAGCTGAGTATGGACTGAAACTTCCACAAACTGTGAGCTAAATAAACCTTTCCTGCTTTAAACTTTGGGTGTTGGGTATTTTGTTCACAGTAATGAGAGAAAAGTAACTAAGACATACAGGAAGAGATAAAAGATGGGTGAAATATAAACCTTGATGTTAAAAGTAATCACCTTAAAGTGGTGAGATAAAAGGCAATTGAATTCCTCCTTTCTTCCCTTCCTCCTTCCTTCCCTCCCTCCCTTCCTTCCTTCCTTCCTTCCTTCCCTCCTCCAGGCTGGGCTCAAGGTTGCAATCCTCTTGCCTGAGCCTTCCCTGCCTTCCTCTCCCTTCCTCTTTCCTTCCCTCCCCTCCTTCCTCTCTCCTTCAAGGTAGGAAGGGCCATAGTGAAGTATTGTGCAGGAAGGAGACAGGAGGGAGGCCCCGCAGTGTGCGGAAGCTGGGCAAGCTACAGCTGAAGAATGGAAGAGCAGGTATAGTTTCTGTGGGGGTCTGAGTTTTCTCCAGCCACAGAAAGGCTGCAGCAAATTGCCCCAAACTCAGTGGCACACAAGCGTGAACCAGTAACTTAGTCTGGGTGGCTGCTCTGGTCTCGACTGAGTTCCCTCGCATGTTTAGGTCCTTTAGCTGGTGGTGGGGACAGCGTGGCTCTGCTCCTTGTGTTCCTGACTCAGCAGGCTACCTGGTTGCTCTCCTGGGAGAAGAGACATATGAGAGAGCAAGAGGAAATGTGAGGGCCTCCACGAGTTGGGGCTGGGGCCTGGCACATCTCCACTTCTTTTTTTTTTTATATTTGTGGTACTGGGAATTGAACTCAGGACCTTGCACTTTCCAGGCAGGCGCTTATACCATTGAGCTATATCCCCAGCCCTCCACTTCTTCCTAGTGGGCAAAACAGGCCATGAGTTCAGCTCAGCTTCAAGGGGAGCTAGGTTCTGTCCTTTAGGGAGAAAGACTCTGAAGTGAGAGTGTCTCTCTGGGGCAGGGACTTCTCATCAGTCTACCTCAGGAGCCTTTTGAAGAGAAAGAGCCCCAAATCACTAATATAAAATTTGGTATAGGGTCTTAAAAGGAGCCAATCAGCTCCATAGCAAAGCCCTAGAAGGCTCACTGAGGACAGAGGGCCAGGGCCAGGGCCTCGATCTCCAGCAAGTGTGTGAGCAGGGAAGTGTGGCTGAGCCTGCTTCCTGCTGCTCTTTCTGTGGTTTTGGTAATTCTCAAGTGGCTCAAGTGACAAACTTCTCATGGAACTTCTATTGCAGAGTGAGAGAGACCTGATGAAACTGACCTTTCAACCAGGAGCTCCTCTCCCTGTGAACAGTTTGGGTTCTGAAATGATCACCTACAGTTTTTTTTTTTTTTGGTCTTTTTTTGAGACAGGATATCGCTATGCAGTTCAGGCTGGCCTTGAGCTCACTTTGTAGCCCAGGCTGGTCTTGAACTTGTAATAATCCTCCTGCCTCAGCCTCCCAAGTGCTGGGATTACAGGGTGCGCCACCACGACGGGCTGATCATCTATAGTTTGAGGAAGTTCCTGACCTTGTGATCAGGAGAAGCCAGGGCATACATTAAAATACACGTACATGCACACACACACACACACACACACACACACACACACTTTACAGTACTGGAATAGACACATGCACACTCAACATGTATCACCAGTATACACGTGTGTAATATATATATGTCTATACATTACTCCCTCCATGAATATGAGCACACACATGTGTACATATGTGCATATACACATAAGGACTTGTGCATGTACACACACACAAAGGTGCTTTAGGCCAGGGAGAATCTTGGATGATCTGTACAATCCCTTTTTTTGTAGATGAGGTATGGAAGCCAGGAAGGTAACAGAGTCATGTAGGAGTCAATGGCCAAGTCGGGACTTGGGCCTCAGTGGATCTTTGAGAATTCAGCCCCCCACCCCCGATAGCCTGGTTTTCCTGTATTCCCCAGAGGCCTTTATTTTTGGCCACTTGGGTAAGTCTCTGTTCTTGATTCTTGGATCGACCAGGCTACCACGTACCAAGATCAAGGATCTGGCCATAAGCAGAGCTCCTGAAGACAGTTCTATTCACTCCTTGCTGCCTATGCCCAAGAAAGGAAAATTATCCCATGACTTTTGATACATCTGACCCCATGGTTTTTAGGACTGCGTCAACCAGCTGAATTCCTAGTCATTGCCCTGGAGGCCGATGGCTCCTCTGTTGCAGAAGCTGATACCTATCAGTGTATCTGTACAGTGCTCTTGCAGGGCCCAAAGGACCACTGGGCCCAGCCCCAGGCTTGTTGATCTTACTTTATGACCTGAAGATGTGTAAAGTGAAAGGCCATCCCTGGCCACATCCTGGAAAAGCCACTCCTATCAGCTGCTGTGTTTTTCAATGCAAACAACTGTCCCTGTGCTTACTCATTCCTAATTAGGGTGTGAAGAGCTGTGCCCCTCCTTGGTACTCACTTGTGAAGATGTCACAGGTTGTGTGTAACACATACTCAATGTGGCTGTAGGTGCAAACTAGGAGAAGGGCCCCAGCTTTTCATGACCCTGTGTCTTGTCTTAACGGCTTGCTGGGATCCTGAGGTTGGGGTGAGATGGGGGAGGAGGAGATACGGTGTCAGAATGAAGGGGATGGGACAGGCAAGACTGGGCCTTCCTTCCCAAGCAGTTACCGTGAGATGGGTGTGGGTGTGAGGTGTCACAGTCATGAGCCCGGGTCCAGCTGGTGAGCCTCGGGAGCATCTAGGCCGAGTCAATAGCCGCAAGATCCCAAGTGCTGGGTTGAGGTACAGCAATCAGAGCTGCCAGTGGGCTCTCAGACAAAGCTCCTCTTTCTGGGCCTCTAGGTCCTTTCACATCTCCTGACTCTTTAAGCCCCTTTCAGGGGCTGGGGATTTAGCTCAGTGGCACAGTGCCTGCCTGGCAAAGGCAAGGTCGTGAGTTCGATTCCCGGTACTGGAAAAAAAACAAAAAACAAAAAAAAGCCCTTTTCACTTAAATCTGGATTTTGCTAGCTGCTCAGTTTCCTCATGCCCTCATTGCAACCTCTGGCCTGGAATCTCTCCTCTGGCTTCTGGCTCAATCTGAGCTCCCTGTTTTCTGGACTTTTGAGACTCTGGCCCCACTTGCCCTAGGGCATTCTGGCCATCAGGCTTGGTTCTCTGTGACTTTCTGGCCAGTCCCATTGGCTTCACGTCTGCAAATGTTGGCAAGACAGAAATTGCTGCCGAGTTCTGTTTTTAGAGAAACTTCGTGGCCGTGAACAAGGTGGCATTTCTCAAAAGCATTTTCATGATCACTTGGCCTTCTTGCATTGCTAACTATAGCAATGAAATTTCACCCATTCTACCTCCTTCCTCTTTTAGTTATTCACTAGTGGGAAGTGGCCGAAGGAGGAAGTAGTAGGGGAAAGTGAGTGAGAACAGAGGCCGGAGATGAAGGAGTGGAGCTCCTCGTGTGTTTTTGCTGACGGCACCTGACGTGGGGGACCGGCATAGACAGAAAATGTACCTGTTGCTATTCTTTCCTCTCTTCTTCTGGTTCTCAGGTGAGTGGGTTCAGGTTTGGACTTCTGGGTGAGGCTTAGTCAGCATGAGGAAGTGATCATAGAGCCGCATGCCACAGCAAGAAGGCGTCCTTAATGGTACAAACCGTCTGTGTTTTGCCTACTTTCCCTGCAGTATTTCAGTGACCAGGCAGAAAGATGGAGCCCTTCAGCACTAACCCAACCTGAGGCATAATTCCTGCCTCCTCAGGGGTGATCATATTTCAAATGGAGAGACTGAGAAGTGAAGTATCCATCTGTGGTTGCTCAAGAGGACAGCAGCGTACCTGGTTCTGGGCTGCGTTGTTATCTTTGTGGCCGCCTTATGACCAGGGAAGGCTTCTGGAAAGAAGAGAGAGGGGTTTGATGGAAGACAGAGTTTTCCAGATGCGGGGGAGGTGCCTCTGGGCAGTTGGGGCAAAAGGAAATAGTAGAAATTGCTGAGGACCTGAAAGGGCTGAGAGGAGGTGGAAAGAGGAGGAAAAGAGGCGCTGTGATGTGCATACCATTTCGATTAAAAATGAGATTTTTTTTCAGTACTGGTGATTGAACCCAGGACCTTTGCATTGAATTGCATCCTCAGGACTTAAAAAGACTTTTTTTTTTTTTTTTTTTTAAAGCAGGACCTTGCTAATTCCCTAAATTACCCAAGCTGGGTTTGAACTTGCAATCTTCCTGACTCAGTCTCCCAGAGTGAGACTACCCAGATGACAGGGATTTTCTTGACTTGTAAATGCTGGTGGGCTCCAGGGCTCCACCCCTGGTCTTTCCCTTTGTCTAGATCACTCCTTTGTGGATCTAATCTGGTCTTGGGTTGATATACTCATTGGCAGTTAACTTCCAGTTATACATTCCTGGCCTGGACGTCTCCCAGGACTCCAAAATCTTAGGACTAACTGTCTACTCAACATCTCCGCTCAGATGCTGAAATTTCAAGTGGGATCTGATCAGATGTCTACCTGAATCCCTTTCCTCCCCAGCCTTCTCCATCTTTGCATTTGGGAGCTCCGTCTTTCTCAGTGCTCAGGCCAAACCTGAGGGGGTATCAGTCTCTTTCTCCATTACCCTCCAGTGGCCTCAGGGTTAAAATCCAAAGTCCTTATGAGGTATTCGCAGTCTGATTTTCCTAGTCATCATCTTCCTGGTCTCATCCTCTCTCTTTGGCTCACCCCACTTGGCCGTATTAGCCTCTTAGATGTTCTTTGAACCATGCCAGGCAAGCTTCTGCCCCAGGGCTTTGTACTCCCTGTTCTATGTCCCATACAGCCCAGGCTCCAGTCTTTCCCACCTTTTCCAACTCTGCTTCACACTGCTTCTTTCTTTGTTGACCCCAGTTAAAACTGCAGGTTTCTTCCATTATTTTTCCCCATTGTCTATTCCCACCTGCATCTGGATAGATAGAATATCAGCTTCCAGAGGGCAGACATTTTTGTGTGAATATAACCAGAATAGCTACTAATTAGACCAATGGTAAGTAATAGTTGAGTGAGTGTATGTATTCAGTGAGAGAATACTATGATGGCTGTAATGTTGCCCTTCCCATCTTTCTCTAAGAATATTCATGTTAATTGAAGAAGACATAGATTTCTTATCTATATACAATGGTGCAGCCACATTGGAAAACAATTTAGTGATTTCTCAACATGTTAAACAGAATTATCACACAACTCAGGAATTCCACTTCTAGGTGCACACCCAGGAGAACTGGAAATACATGTCCATGTAAAAACTTGGACTAAGAACATAAATGCTGATCACAAGAATATTTATAATCTCTAGAAAGTGGAAACAATCAAATGTCCCAGCCAAGCTGATGACTAGATAAATAAAACGTATGTATCCATTCAGTGGACTATTACTGAGCTATAGAATAATTTAAGCCACTGACACACGCTACAATGTGGATGAGTCTTGAAAACATGTTGTTAAGTGAAAGAAGCCACATCCAAAAAGGCCATACATTGTATGATCCCATTTAAATGAAATCTCTAGGCTAGGCAAATCCATAGTGACAGAAAATAAATTAGTGGTGGTGAGGGCACACAGGTTAAAGGAAATTACTCATTACTATGACTTTTTAGGGTCTTACTAAAGAGATAGGGTCTTATTATGTAGTGCAGGCTGGCTTTGAACTAATTTATGTAGTCCAGGCTAGCCTGGAACTCAGGACTGTCTTCCTGCCTCAGCCTCCTGAGTGGTAAGATTACAAGTGCGTGCTACCACCCCTGGCAGGTTTCTTTTTTATTTCAGACAAGTAAAAAGTGTTGTACAATTAGGCAGTGGGTGATGATTGTACAACTTTGTGAATGTTCTGAAAACCACTGAGTTGTGTACTTTAAAAAATGAAATTTATGGTATGTGAATTATATGTCAGTTTTTGTTTTTGTTTCATTTTTTGATAATGGGATTGAACCTGGGGCAGTCTGCTGCTTTTCTACATCCTTAGCTCTTAATTTTTTTTTTTTTTTAATAAAGTTTGAGGCAGGGTGGAGCTGCCTTGGTTCAGTTATTCTCCTTCATCTCATCCTCTTGAGCAACAAGAGTACAAATGTGTGCCATTGCGTCTGGCTTTGTATCAATTTTATAAGTGGAAAAAAGCAAATCCTCTGCTCTAAAATGCTTTCATTAATTTTAGAAAGGAAAAGAATGATCATAGTTTTTTAATATAGCCAAGTAGAAAAAGATAAAGAGTAGTAATTCAAAGGAAATAAGAGGAAGAAAATGACACACATGAGAAATTAATAATTTAGAAAATAAAACAGTAACATTTATCAGTTAAATCTCCAAACTGGTTTAATGTAGGAAAAAAGGAGGGAGAGAAACAATTACATGTAAGATCTTTTGGCACATGTAATCACTAAAAATAAAATAGTACACATAACTAAAATAAATCTAATAGATATGGAAAATGTAATTCAAAAGAATACTTTATGATTATTTTCCCTTATGCTAATAATATATACTCTATGAAACAGATCCTTTTCTGGGTAAAAAAAACACAAGCATTAACTCAAGACTGAAACTGACTCAAGAACAAGTAAAACACCTGAATAGACTGATAATCCCAGGAAAAAAAATTGACCAAAGAACTTGCCCCAGTAAACACTCTATTGCCAGATAGTTTTCTGGATAGTATTTTAAGATTCTAAAGAACCAAAAATTCCTTGGCTGTATTTATGTTGTGATTCCAGAGCATAAAATGGAAATTGGTTGGGGATGTAGCTCAGTGACAGAGTGCTTGCCTAGCATGTGTGAAGCCCTGTGTTTTACACCCTTCATGGCAAAATTAAAAAGAAAACAAGGGAAATATACCAGACTCATCTGGAGGTACTAGCATATCTCTAACACACTCTGGTATCACACTTTGACAAAAAATGATAGAAAAGAACTACATCTATGAACACAGAACAGCACTGACAGTAGGACTCAGCTCTCAGATGGGTTTGGGTGACCTGCACTTGACTGTGGTTTTTTTTCTTCTGGTATCTATAATTGGAGAAATTTCACCCAAAATAGTTTTGAGCTGTGTGTGGTGGCACACACTTGTAATCCCAGCATTTGGGAGGCTGAGACAGGAGGATCACTGTAAGTTCTAGGCCAAACTTGGCTACACAGTGAGTTCAAAGCCAGCCTGAATTATATGGTGAGATCTTGTCTCAAAAAAAAAAAAAAAATATAGATTTCTGGTGACTGGAAAGAAGTGAAAAGATCTGAAGTCACAGAGCCTATTTCTTGCATCAGGACCATGGTTGAGCTGGGATAGCGGGGTGGGACTGAGATGGATCTTTTTCCCTGCAGGTTTTCCTGTTCCTCACCCCTTCCCAGAGTCTCCTTTGTGCCATGGCCTAGCACCACTGGTCATTTTTTTGGGGGGAGTGCGGTACTGGGGATTGAACCTAGGAGTTTTGCATGAGCTACATCCCCAGCCCTTTTAATTTTTTTTTTTATTTAAATTTTGAGATACAGTCTTGCTAAGTCACTACATTGCACAGGCTTTCTATGCCCCTACCTCACTCTCTCAGAGTGCTGGGATTACAGGTGTGCTCCACCATGCCTGTCTATGGCCATTTTTTATAAGTATGCTTGTCAATGAACATTTTCCTGTACCTTGAATCCTCTCAAAGGTGAGAAAATAAAAGAATAAACAAAACAAACATATATCTTAAGAAAAAGCTGCTTCGTTGTCTATAATACTTGCCTTACAGTGAAGCTATTGTAATCCGGACACTGTGGGGTTATTGTGAAGATGGATAAAGTAATCAGTGGAACAGAAAGGAATCTATGAATAATTTACAAATTCGCTATTTGACAAAGACACCACAGCAGTTCAGTGGAGAAAATGGGATCTGTATGCTATGGGCCCCACAACACCTGGAGAGCAGTTGGCTTCACTGTTTTGGTCCTCCTGGGGTGGCTTACTACAGAAGCCCCAGGGACCATTAGACCACCAAGGACAGCCTCAGCATGGCCATCCCACGTGGCTGTGTCAACTTGGCTTCTGGGGGCCACGAGCACTAAGAGTCAAGGGAACATCACTGTCCTGTAAACATGGATCTTCTGTTATTTCCTCCTCTCTTAGCCAGAAGACCATAAACATGGCCACAGAAGGACACTCCTCAAAACGTCTGGATTTATTGACCATAGTGAAGTGGAGAGGGGTGAATGACAGAAAGCTATTATTGCTGTACCAATACTTTTGTTCCTTTTAAGAGCTGTAGTTTTACTTCTGATGCTTTTTGTTGGGCCTTTGGCCTGATGGAATGCAGAAGGACCACAGGTCTGTCTTGGAGAAGATACAATCTTCCTGCCTAAACCATTGTTTAATTTAGGACACACTTGGATTTAGAAGCTCTTCTAGTGCAGGATGCTGTGGCCCTGCCCTTGGGGTGGGAGGTGACGAGTTCATGGATTTGTGTTTTCCAGGCTTCTCTGCTGCCCAGAAAGATATCACTGGTCCCAATGCAGTGAGTGGCCAGGAACGGGGCTCACTGACGGTGCAGTGTCGTTATACCTCAAAGTGGAAGACTTCTCGGAAGTGGTGGTGTCGAGGAGCTGCCTGGAGTAGCTGCAAGATCCAGATTCAAACCGATGGATCAGAGAAGGAGCAGAAGAAGGAGCGTTTGTCCATCAGGGATTACCAGAAAGAGCTCATGTTCAGGGTAACCTTGGAGGATCTCAGGAGAGATGATGCTGATAATTACTGGTGTGGGATTGAAAGATTTGGAACTGACCCTGGGCTCAAAGTTAAAGTGACCGTTGTTCCAGGTAAATGTGTGTATGTGTGGTTGTGTCCTTGAGGTCCCACATAAGTAAATTAACTGTCACCAAACTGACTTATTACAGAGTGGAGTTGAGTCCTGAGGTGTCATAGAACCTCAAATGACCGCTTGGGGTTGGGAAGGGAAGGGCTTTCTCTTAAATACCCCCTGGATCCCAAGGTCTTCTCCAACTCAAGACTAAACCTTCCCAGGTACTTTTTCCTCACTGCACAGCTCAGTCCTGGGTCTGTTGCCAATAGTGGTGAGTATGGTGACCCCATTTTAGTTCTTGGGCTAAAGAGATCCCCTTCCATGGTTCCTAGAGACCCCAATCCCTGCTACTTCTTTTTTGGGACCTCAGTGCCTGAGGATACCCTGCTCTTTGGGGAGCTCGGCCTTCATAATTGCTGTTCTTATCCCGCATCATCTGCTGCTGTGGTCTTATTCCTGAGGACTGGAAAACCTTCACAGTCAAACAGCTGCATTCCTGGTGCCAGAAAGCCCTCTTTGAGCCATCATGCTTTTGAGCTTAATGTCGTTCTCTTCCCAAGTCCTTCCAGAATGCAGACATTCCTGGGAGGGTCAGCTCGAAGTCCCAGGGCCTTGGTTTGGAGGAATTTCTCTGTCAGGGTCTATTTCTGCTGCCTCCCAAACAGGCAGCACCAGCTCTAAAGCCCCTTGAGGCACGAAGCCAGTATTACCATCATCGGGGCCCTTGCCACTCCTGGAGTCTCTGAGGTGTTCTCATTGGCACAGTGCCGAGCCTGCACTGACTCCTGAAAATACTGTACCCATGGGGAGGAAGATGTCTCCATTATTTGAGCTTCATACCTTGCCTGAAGTAAAGGCCTGCCTGAGTGTTATGGTTTTGTTTGGGGAAGGTTAAATTGGTCAACAGAACAGAAGGCAAATCCATCAATAATTCACAGATTTGCTCTTTGACAAAGGCCCTAAAGCAATTTAATGGAGAAAGTGGGATCTGTACTGTTTTGGTCAACTTGGGGTAGTTTACTACAAAACCCCTAGGGACCATTAGAACCACCAAGGACAGCCTCCGCATGGCTGCATCAGCTGGACCTTCTCAGGGTCATGGGTACTAAGGGTCAAGGGAACATCACTGTCCTGTGGACATGGCTCTTCTTAGAAGTTTGATTGACCTTAGAAGTCTGAGCTGGGATATATGTTAGCCACATGCAATTTCCCACTCTGCTCCTGTCCTTGCTGAGTAAAGGAGCTGGGCAGGGGGTACTTGCTGAGGCATGACCATCGGCAATGGGTTTACTTAAAACCTAGCTGAACTTCAGTTATCCTTAACTCAAGGCTCTTCTTGGGCCCCCTAACACCCTCTGAGGGCCTGCTCAGTGTCCTTGGACTTGTGCCCACCCCATCTGCCTTGGAGGCTCTGGACTTTCCTAGAAGCCCTGGGATATGAATGGTACAAGGTACAGCCCCTCCACACAGCTCTCTTCCAGGCACCTCTGGCTGGGGTGGCCCACACTCCTCCAGGCTCAGAGCTGGGTGCCGGGCTGTGGGTGGGCTGGTGGGAAGGGTAGCGTGTAACCTGATTTGTATGCCAAGCACCAACCACAGTGCCAACCACAGTCTCCACCACCACTACCACCACCACCAGCACCACCTCTGTCTCCACCATGAACACGTTTACAGCACCAGTCACCGCGGAAGAGAACATAAGCCTCCTGTCTCCGACCATCTACCACTTCAGTGGCAGGTAAGCGGGCTCCCGTGCTGCTGTCCTCTGGCTCAGGTGGCCCAAACTACTCCAATGAGGGGCATCTTTGATGTCCCAAGCCCCAGCTAGAGCTTGGAACTAGGTCTTGAGTCTCTTTTGGGAGGGTGAGGGTCTTGGAGGCCTTCTCACTTCTCTCAGCTCCCATAGATACTGTATCTTGGAGCAGAGAGAAGTCTATAGATTTTTTTCAATCATTCATCCATTCATTCATTCATGTTGTGGCCCACTTTTACTGAGTTCTACATGGCAGGAGTGTGCTGGGCTCTGGGGATCTAGATGTAGAGTTAGGAGTAGGTGGGCCGTGAGGACAGGGTGGCTGGTGGCTGGTGTGTCTGTGGAGAGGCATAGAGCTGTAGGGCCACAGGGACTACTCTTGGCTCAACTTCTGTGTAGCCAAGGAGGGTTTGGAGGAAGCCCCATTCCTCTAATTACTATGATGGCAGCGACAATGACACTGGTGGTTTATGTCTGTAGAGCTCATGAAAGGCCTTCCTGTCCATTACTTTCTTTGACCCTGCCTAAGACTACCCCATGAAGAGAAAAGGGTAGACATGAATGTTTCTTTCTTTTTTTTTTTGGTAGTAGTAGGGGTCAAACTCAGGGCCTTTGCACTGAGCTGTATCCCTATCTCTTTTTAAAAAACTTTTGATTTTGAGACAAGGTCTCACCGTCTCACTAAGTCACCAAGCTGCCCAAACTGGGCTTGAACTTGTAATTCTCCTACCTTGGCCTCCAGGATGTTGAGATTACAGGTATGCACCACTACACCCAGCCAAATGTTTCCATTTCACAGAGGAAGAAACTGAGTCTTGGTCATTCTTTGGTGTGTTGGGGTGCTCTGGAGCTTGGAAGTATTTGAACTCCAGAGCTTGGTTCATGCTCCTTAGTGCCCTGCCAAGGCATGTGCAGTCAGAGGGCTTTCTAGAAGTGGAGAGGCTCCATTTCATTTCCTTCTTTCACTTTCCTTGACCCCCTTGGCTTTGTTTTTAGATCTGCCAAGGTCTTCTATTGCTGGGACCTTGCCACAAAATCCCTATGGCATATCCTTAATCTTTCCGCCACCAGGGACCCCTTCTCTTCCCCTTCTCCCATTTGCCCCTGTTTTTAATAAACAGTAGCTAAGGAGTTTCATCATTTTATTAATCTGAGCTTTATGTAAACATCAGTTAAGGCCTCTGAGTAGCACAGGAGGGATAATTCGTTCACTTATTGGAGAAAGAGTTACTTAGCGTCCGCTCACACCTGTTGCTATTTTAAGGAACATAATAGGGCATAAGGATGAAAATAAGCAAGGCACTTGCCCTCAAGGCACTTACAGTCTCCAGATAATCTGTGTAACCATCAGAGTCGATATAATTGAGAGATTTATTCTTCATACTTCTACAATTCAGTGATGAAGGAAAGTCCTTTCATTCATGTACTAGAGCTACCATAATAAAGTACAACAGGCCGTGAGTTTAAACAACAGAAATGTGTCTTCTCAAAATTCTGAGGGCTAGTCCAATATCAAGGTTTCAGCAGTGCTGGCCTCTCCCGAGATCTCCCTCCTTCCCTTGTAAGATGGCTGTATTAGTCAGTTTTCCTGTCACTGAGAAGCAATACCTGACACCCAAAACTTGCAGGAGGAGAGGTTTAATTTAGCACATGGTTTCAGAGGATTTAGTGCATAGTCAGCTGGCTCCAAGGCTGAACGATCATGGTGAAGTGAAAATGCTTAGTTCATGGCAGCCAGGAAGCAGAACGGGGAACAGTGTCAGAGAGGAAGGGGTGAGGGACCAGATGTATAGTACCCAAGGTTACACAATCCAGACACATCCAGAAGTGTGCTTTACTAATCCCCTAGGTGGATGTCAAGCCAGTGAAGTTGACTCAATTAAGCTTAACCACCACAGTGGCCATCTTCCTCCTGGGTCCTCACATGGTCAGCCCCTTTGTGCATCTGTGTCCTAATTTTTTCTTATAGGAGCACCAGTCACACTGGTATCCCCCAAAGTCTCCGTTGAACTTTAACAACATCTTTAGAGGCTCTCGCATTCAGAGGTATTGAAGGCAGAATCTGTCCCAAGCCTGTCTTTTAGCTTCTGGTGGTGGCTGCCCGCCGTCCTTGGCTCACAGCCGCTCCACTCCAGTCTCTTTCTCTGCCATTACTCGACTGCTTTCTGTGTGTCCACACTTCTCTCTTATGAGGATAACAGTCATTGGGTTAAGAGCCACCCTCATCCAGCGTGACTTGATCTTTGCTCAATTATACCTCAAATACCCTATTTCTAGATAAGTCAGATTCATAGGCTCCCAGTGGACACAAAATTGGAGACTGTATGCAGCACAAGTGTGGAGACATGATAAAGATACATGGTGAATGTTTAAATAAAAATTATTGTAGTAAAATTTTTAAATAAAATAATTTTTAACACAAGTGTAGAGACGTGATAAAGATACATGGTGAATGTTTAAATAAAAATTATTATAGTAAAATTTTTAAATAAAATAATTTTTAAATAGAATAATTTTTACATAAAAATTATTACAGTAAATTATTGCCATAATTTTTCCTCAAAATACTCAAAATACTTGCCTTTATTTCAAACACATGTATCATTGTTACTGTTATATGTTTTAAAAAATTTAAAAATTCATTGTAGATTTCCATCATCCCTTGTACAGAAGCAGGAAGGCCTGTCAGGAGCTATTCCTGTAAGATTTCTTAATTTTTTTTTTTTTTTTGTTTTTTGGTTTTTCTCTGGTACCGGGAATCAAACTCATGACCTTGCGCTTGCCAGGCAGGCGCTTTGCCGTTGAGCTAAATCCCCAGCCCCTTCCTGTAAGATTTCTATTAGGCTTCTAGATGAACTAGAACTACCTTGTGGAACCCTCTTCTCCTTACTAAAAACCATCTTTGAGAGCTGAGAGTGAGGGTTCCTGTCTGTAAACCACGGTCCTGCGGGCCATAAGGTGTGTTTCCCTCTCCTGGCTGGAATAGGGCTTGGGGTGGAAAAAGCCTGGGTCTCTCTCTCTCTCTCTCTCTCTCTCTCTCTCTCTCTCTCTCTGTACTGGGGATTAGTCTCAGGGCCTTTGTATTGAGCTACACCCCAAGCCCCCTTCCTCCTTTTAATTTTTTATGTTGATTCAGGGTCTTTTTAAGTTGACCAGGTTGCATTTGAGCTTGAGACCCTCATGCCTCTGTCTTCCACAGTGCGGGATTACAGGCATGCACCATCATGCCTGGCTACAGGGCCTGTTGTTTGTAGGTACGGCATCACAAACCTCAGCATCCTCCTCCCGCTCATCTTTGCGGTGCTGCTGCTTCTCTTGGTGGTTGCCTCACTCCTGGCTTGGAGGATGAGGAAGCAACAGAAGAAAGGTGAGAGGACCTGGCCTGGTGAGGCTGGCCCTAGCTAGGTCAAGGTATGTGGGGCTGATGGCTGGCATTATCCTTCAGGAGCTAGGTGGCCGAAGGCATTACTCCTAGTCTGGAAGGTGTCACTGTCCCAAAGGCCACCAACATCTGGTAGTATGAGGGACTGGGGTGGTCTACAGCTTGTAGGTGAGCCCCATGAAGTCCAAGTTGTGGTGTCAGCTGCCTGCCTTGCACATCCTTCCTGCCCTTCTCTTTTCTCTGACCCACTTTGTTTGTTTCCTGGTTTGGCTCTCAGGGGCAGAGGTGGCAATGCCGCCCATATTAGATCTGTGTGGTTGTCAAGGAGGTACTGAGCTGAGATGGGAGAAGGGAGGAAGAGCCACTCTCTGAGAACACAGCAGCTGCCATGCCCCTGCCCCCCCATCCACGCACAGTTATGAACATGTGTAACACAGGCATACACACATGCACGTGTCTCACTGTTCATGCACACACGACACAGCCTTTAGGGGCTGACTGGATGGTCAGTGTGACCTTTGCTTCTGCTTCTCTGCTGCCCACTAGCCTTGCCCAAGTCAGCCTCTTCCACCTGCGTGCCCTCCCTTGCGTTTCAGGGAAGAGCTCTTTGCTCAGGGATCACGAGGTATGACTCAATCAAATTTGTTTTTTTTTTTTTTTGGTCTGGCTTTACTTCCACTTTTTCACAGAGCTGCGCCCCTTTCCTTCTCAGAACACCTGGGACCTGAGCTTTGAACGAACCTTCCCACTGCCATGGCCTGGGAGTCTCCAGTCTGGGAAGGTGGAGGCGCAGGGTGGGGGAGGGAGGGAGCCTGACTCACACTCATCAATTGTCCTCCCAAAGAGTGCTCTCCATGACCTTTGTACACTTAAGTGCTTTCTGTGCGCCTTGGTGTCTAGATGTTTGAAACTGAAAGTTGGCAGGGGGAACCCCTTATTTCTCTTTTTTCTTTGGGGCAGGGAGCACGTTGGCAACGGGGAAGGTCAAGGGCAGAGAGAAATGCAGGAGCCAGCAATCCCCTGAAAACCAGCTCACGCTGTGCTGAGCCGGCTTGCAGGTTCCATCTGGGGGTAGTGTGGAGCGGACCCGGCTCTGATTGAATATCCACCTGCTAGGCCTGCACACGCATGTGGATACCAGGCAGGATTGGGCCTAGCTACTATCTTGTCTGAAGACAGCTAGAATTTAGTGGGATAAAGGGGACAGGGCAGACAAAAGCAAGTGCCGTGCGGGGAGGGAGTAGACAGCAGGCATAACTCTGAGATGGCCCCTGAAGGATGTATCCGGTAGAGCAAAGTGGAGTAGGCTGAACTTCTGGCAGCACTTACAGGCTATGCCCAGGATTTTGCAGAAAGAACCTTAACTCTGGAGCCAAAGCCTGGCAGGGCCACTGACCGCTTGATTGCAGCTCTGTGATGGGTCCCCTTCTTTTCAGGTGGAGCAATGGAAGCTCAGAGAGGTGATAGGATCAGTGCCATGGAGTGTGTCATCTAAGCAGTTAGAACTAGAACCAGGTCCTTGTAACTGAGCCTGGAGCCTTGGTCCTCCTTCTGTCCCTTGTATTTCTCTTTCCAGTGTGTGGGGACTTCTGCGAGACTCAGGGTTGAGCTTTCTAATTCTGGATTGTTTTTGTCTTTTAGCTGCTGCACTGTCCTCCGAGCAGGTACGAGTCCCTGAGGCTGGTCCAGAGAGACCAGTCAGCTCCTTCTCCTCTTCCTTGTTTTCTACCTCCAAGGAACCCAGATGTTTACGTGTTTCACATGATCCCTGTGCCCAAGTAGCCACGTACTCATGGCCCTGCAGGCTTGGAAGGCTGAGGGGCCTGAGACAGCCAGAGAGGTGGAGGCTTGGGGACTACGGGGGCGCTGAGAAGGGGGAGGCACACAGGGAGCTGGAGGGGGTCACAAGGAAGCAGAGAGGCTCATGCCTTTTCTTAGAAGAGGAACCTGTGCCCACAGACCGATCAGGTGACCCCAGCCTGTGTTCCTACCTGCAGCCCGTGGAAGGTGACATCTGCTATGCAAACCTGTCTCTGCACCAGTCTGGAACCTTTCCCGGCTCCTCCCAGCAAAAGGCCTCCACCAAGTCCTCCTCTGCCCAGGCTGACCAGGGGGAAGTGGAATATGTCACCATGGTGTGTCCTTTGTGGGGGTTGCTGTGGGGCTGGGGGACAGCTGTGCCTCTGGCTTTCCTGGGGAGTGGGCTCTCTAGTGCCCACATGGGCACCACTGAGGAGGGTGGGTATTGGGCAGAGCCTCAGTAACTGCAGCACTCGCCCGAGGAACCCTAGGCTTTCAGAAGGGTCTGTACCCCAGGGTCTGACTCTCAATGCTGGAGAGTCAGGGTGTGTCCGAAGTGGTCCTTGTGCTGGGCAGGAGAGAGCCAGACTGGGTGAACGGTGCCAGATTCTACAGGAAGGAGCTGTCCTGGGGCAGGGCTGGGCTTTGTGTGTTGTGGTTGAACTGCTTGGGGTTCCTGGCAGGGCAGAGGGAAGCTGGAGTACTTGGGAATGGACCTCAGAACCCTTGCGCTCCCCACCTGTCTCCTCTGAGTTTCTTTTTTTTTCAGGCTGATCCACGGCCACAGGCTCCTGCTGGCCTCTCTGACTTCATAACCGTTTGTGTTGCAGGCTCCCTCTTGGAGACAGGAAATTTCCTATGCGTCTCTGTGTTTGGACATCTTGAATCAGGAGCCAACCTACAGCAACACTGGCCATGCTCCTAGAAGGGGCTGCGAGGATTCCACAGAATACACCAGCATCAGAAGGCCGTAGCCCCTGTTCGGCCTTTCTCTGGGACTTGCCCAAGGCCGTGGAGCATGCTGCTGCTTGTCTGCTTTCTGCCCCTGTCCCCACCAGGACCAACTGGTGATTGAAGTTCTGCCTGATCAGCCAGGGTGGCCCCAACTCTGGCCTGTGTTTGGGGACCAGTCTCAGGGGACCTCAAGGAATTAGGGTTCTTTCCACATCCCCTCATTTCCCACCTAGCTTGGGAGGGGCCTGAAGATATAGTCTGGGGCTGCATGTGAATAATAATGACAATGATGAGAATAATAGTAATTACCCTTTATTTATTGCTTACCGTGTACAGCGGAGTGGAGAATAGCCCGAAAGACATCTACATCCTGATCTCCAGAATCAGCGAATGTACCACACATGGCAAAAGACAAGGAGCACATGTGATTAAGTTAAGGATTTTGAGATGTGGAGATTATTCTGGATTATCCAGTGGGGACTGAAATATAATCATAGGGCTCCTTCTAAGAAGGAGGCAAGAATATCAAAAGGGGAGATGACAATGTGATGCCAGAAGTGGAGGTTGGAGTGATGTGGCCAGGAGCAAAGGAATGCTGTAGCCTGCAGAGGTTGAGGGAGGCAAGGGACAGATTATTTCCCTGAGCCTCCAAGAAGAACCACCCCTGCCAACACCTTGGCTTGAGCTCAGTGGAGCTGACTTTGTCATTCTGGCCGCCAGAAGTATAGGAGAATAAATCTGTATTGTTTTTAATTAGATCACTAAATTTGTGGTAATTTGTTACAGCAGCAATAAGAAACTATGCGGCAGGTGCTCATCTCTGAATGCTTCACATAGAATAACTCATTTCATTTTACAAGGGTGCTTCTATTATTGGCCCATTTTACAGATGAGGAACTGAGGGCTGTAGAGACTCAGTGATGTGCACCAAGTTTAATGGCCAGAAGATAAGTAGAACCCAGGTATTTGGTTCCAGAATCTGGAGTCTGGGCCCTATCCTGTTTGTATTAGCAAGATAATGTGCATATGCTCACATAGCTACTCATGCAAGGACAGTGGATAATACAGGACTTACTTTTATCCTAGGGTCCTTGCAGCCTTCTTTCCTGCATGTATCCTGAATCCCAGGGCATCTCTTTGTCTCCGTGGTTACCAGTCTAGTCCAAGCAACCATTCCATCCTGACTGTTCTCCCTCTTTCACTCTCTGCCTCTGAATCCATTTTCTTCCCAGCGGCCAGAGTGATATTTCAAAGCACAGAGCTGATCACATAGTCATGCTTATGAACTAGGGATTTCTTCCTCAACCTTCAGGGACCCAAGGAATCCACAGACTGCCACTTGCCCCTTGTGGTCATCCATCCACTCTCCCTCTCCCTCACTCTGGCCCAGCCACACCAACCTTTCCTCTGCCCTGTAACAAGACGTTATGGTTTGAATCTGAAACGTCTCCCAAAGGCCATATGCTAATGGCTGACTCCCCAGCCTGTGGTGCTGTTGCGGGGTGGTGAAACCTGTAGGAAGTCGAGCCCAATGGAAGGAAGTGAGGTCACTGAGGGTGCAGCATCAAAGAGATATTGGGACATTGGTCCCTCTCTCTTTTTCTTTCTGCTTCCTGGTCACCATGGTTTGAGTAGCTTTACTCTACCATATGCTCCCTACTATAGGTCTGAAGCAATGGCACTATGCAGCCATGGATAGAAATTTCTAAAACCATGAACCAAAATAAACCTTTTCTCTTCATAAATTGATTATCTCAGGTATTTTGTCATAGGGATGGAAAGCTGACTAACATACAAGATCAGGCTGGCTCTCTTTTCAGGACACTGGTATTTGCTGTTCCTTCTTTCTGCCATGTTCTTTTTTTTGTTTTGTTTTGTTTTGTTTTTCCCGGTACCAGGAATCAAACTCACGACCTTGTGCTTTGCCAGGCAGGGGCTGTGCCGCTGAGCTAAATCCCCAGCCCCTCTTTCTGCCATGTTCTGCCCAGGGTCACACAGTGGGCAAGTGGCTAGGCTGGGTTCCATCCCAGCTTGGCCTGTTTCCATCACTCCTGTGAGTAGTTAGCTTCTTTTCAGCATCACATCTCAGCTCAAATGTCACCTCTTGGAGGGGACTTCCTGACCATCCTGAGAACAAGAGCACGTGCTGCCCATCTGTCTGTCTAAATGCCCTATCTTATTTCCTTTGTAATATGTGATCTGTTGTGAAATTACTGATCTATTGGTATGTAGGTTTGTTTCTCTGTTCCCACTAGGTGGTATTCTCCCTGAAGGGAGCGAGTGTCTCACTTCCTCCTGTATCCCCCTTGCCTAGTAGTGTCTGCTACGTGGTGGATTCCTGGGTGTTTGTTGACTCAATGAATAAATAACACAGATGGTTCAGACTTGGGAACACAAGGCAAGCTCCTAGGAGCAGGAGCAGCAGCATCTATCATTCCAGGAAAGGAATCCTGACCAAGCAACCTAAGGAGTTTTGGGATTGACTTTCCTAAAGCACGCAATAGAGAGATGTCTGTCCTTTCCTGAAAATCAAGGGGGCAGTGAAATCCATGATGCTGTCTGACTGGAGACACAGCCTGTTACTTCACCTGGGCCAATTTTGGTGAAGGCTAAGGATGAAGCATCAGAGAGAGGCATCCTGGCTTTTATGGGAAAGAAGGACAAGCTGGGTTGGAGGACCATAGCAAATGAGCCAGCAGGTACAGGGGCCATAGAAGTGTCTCGTGGGACCTTACCAGGTGTTCTGGGGTTTGCTTGACTCATAGCTCTGGACAGCCCAAGGGGACCTGGGACAGATAGCTTTGGTGGATGGCTTCTGTGTCTATTGCTCAAAAGGTAATTCCTTCTCATCTTATTTTCTGTGATACTGGGGATTGGACCTAAGGCCTTTGTACTGAGGTACATCCTCAGTTTTTTTTTTTATGTTTTTAATTTTGAAAAGGAGTCTTGCTAAGTCACTATGTTGCCCAGGTTAGGCTTAAATTTGTGATCTTCCTGCCCCAGCACCCCCCAGGTGGTAGAATTGTGGGCATGTACCACCTGTCCAGACTGCCTTCCTGACATTTTAAGAGCTTTTTCTTTCTGGGGAAATTTGCAGACCTCTAGATTCTTAATTTTTTTTTTTTTTTGAGGCAGGGTCTTGCTATGCATTTCATCCAGGCCTTGAACTTACTTTATAGCCCAAGTTGGCCTTGAACTCATGGCAATCCTCCTGCCTCAGCTTACCAAGTGCTGGGATTATAGGCGTGTACCACCATGCCCAGCTTGACCCCTAGATTCTTGAATAGTCTTGAGCTGGTTATTTAAACCGGTTAGATTAGAGAGAGACTGTTTTTGACCCAGTCTGTTTGAAGATTTACAGAGCAAGACATGCCCATGGAGAGATCTTTAAATGGAAAAATTCAAGGAAGAGTAAAATTAGAGTGAGATGAAGTATAAAAATCATAACATACAGCCTCAGGCCAATGCATCACTATGCTGTTTTAACTGTTGTGCACAAAGTGGCTTTATTTCTGAGTCTAAGTAGCCTGCACCAAACAGTGTACAGGTACGGGCTCGTCTTTCGGGTGATACATGATCACAAAACATGACTACAAGGATGCAAATAAGAATTTAGCCCAGTTTAACTTGGTTGGAGGAATCTGGACAGTAGATATGGGCTGAAAATGGAAGTTTCTGGCAGTCTGGCTTGGCAGACGAGGGGCAAATCAGCTTAGAAAGACTGATCCTACTCTGATTACGTTTAATTGCCTTAAACAAGCTTTGAAAAGATGTCTCTATAAGACAGAGGTATTGCTGGATGTGTTATAATCCAAAATCCCAGCCACTTGAATTGAATTGGTGGCTGTCTGCAAAGCTCCCCCCTCCACCTTTTTTAAGTCCTCAGAGTTAGAGCTGGGCAGTTGCTGACATTCATGAACCGGTGCAGTCAATTCCCTAGCAGGCGGGGCAGATTTCTGACTGTGATCCTGATGGAAATGTCTGGCTGGATTCTTTCTATGCTGGGTTATGACAGCAGGAGTTAGCTTCTAATACAGCCTGATTTGTTCATGCTTAAACTAGCGTTTGGAGAATACTGGGGAAGTAATCAGGGTGGGGAAGGGGAGGCACACATACACAAGAAGACAGAAAGGAAATGGTTTCATAATGCTTACAGATCTGTGTCTGGGTATTGTCTCAGCCATATCCTGCTGCTCCATAAAGAGTTTGCTAAAGCAGATTGTGGGGAACTAGCCAGCATCTTTATTGCAAGGCAGAGAATTCAGATATGGTTCCTCTGGTCTGAGGGAGGGTGATATTTACTATCGTGCTGTATGGTCTCCAGGAAAACACATTCTGTTAAAACAAGCTCCAGGCTATTGAAGTTCTCAGTTCTGATTGTCTTATTATTTATAGACCATCTAAACTTGCTGGGGTTTCCCTTCTTTGGTTTTTGAATGATTAATATTTAAAGATTCCATTTGATAAAAATGGGAGGATTTGGACTGTTGCCTTTGGAGAACTATGAGCATATCACTGGCTTCAGAAAACAGATTTTATTTGTGTGTGTGTCGGTTGAAGGAGTACAGAAATACTCCTGGAAAGTACTGGGTTGGTATCCTCCAAAATACATGATTAAGGTAAACGTTGGATTGAAGCGTAACTAAAAGTTATCTTTGCTGGACACTTAGCCTTGAAAAGGGGACACAACCTGGGAAGAACCAGACTACTGGAATCAGTTGATTTCATGTACCAGTAATTTTTTAGATTGGGAGACAGATAGAGTGTTGTTGGCCTTTTATTTTACCAAGCAAGTGCTCACCTGCCTGTCTGCCTTCCTTCCTTTTTTCTTCTTTTCCTTCCTCCCCCTTGTCCTTGTCCTCCCGCTCTTCCTCCTCTGTCTCTTCCTCCTCCTCTTCGTCCTCCCCCTCCTCCTCCTTCTCTTCCTCCTCTTCTTCATCTTCATCCTCTTCCTCCTCCTCCTCCTGCTTCTTCTTCTTTCTCTCTCTTTTTTAGTACTATTAAGCATTTAACCTGGTATAGGGAACTTTACACTGAGCTCCATCCCCAATGCTTTTTATTTTATTTTAATTTTGAGACAGGGTCTCATTAAGTTGTTAAATTTCCCAGGCTGGGATTGAATTTGTGATTCTCCTGCCACAGCCTCCCAGAGTGCTGGGATTACAGGTGTGCATCACTGTGCCTGGCTCCAGTAGCTGCTATCTTATCCAGTGTAGTTGGATCAGTTACTTATAAATGGGTCAGTTCATTGAAAACTAGGGAATCGTAAAGATGCTCATATATCTTTTCTTCAGATGTTTCCTCCAAATGTAGTAATCTGCTAGTTTTGTGATGTTGATCCAACACTTTTTCTTCTGGGTGTAATGAAAGATGGTGCTTTTGTTTTTCTTACATAAACCACCCACATTATATTGTTCTCAAGTTCCAGTTTCTTTGAAATGAAGCAAGAGGTCCCAGTCACTTATGAAACAATCTGATTGCAAAAGCTTTCTTTAACTTTATATTTTTCCTTCCAGTATTTTACAGTTTTCTCACCCACTCTGAATTTGGCAATATATATATTTTAAATGATATGTTTTTAGGTAGATTCTTTCTTTCTTTCTTTTTTTTTCTTTTTTGATGCAGGTAGTGCAGGCTAGCCTTGAACTTGCTTATATAGCCCAGGCTGACCTCAAACTCATCGTGCTCCTTCTGCCTCAGCCTCCTGAGTGTTGGGATGCCACCGTGTGCCACCATGCACCACTGTGCCTGGCAGGTAGAATCTTTTTAAATGAGTTAATTTAATTTTTATAGAAATTACAGACCCTTTTTTTGTTTACAATCTTATTCCATTAATTTTCTTTTTAGTTACAGTCTACATTAGTTTATGGGTGAGATTCAAGTATATCATAGTAGTTAGCATGAAGACTGGCAAGAGCAAATTTGGGCCTAAAGAGTAGACTCTTGGTACTGCGCACCTTAATGGGTGAGCATAGGTATAAGTGGCCTCCCAGGAAAGAGTCACTCTGCAGTGATTGTGTAATCCGCCACACACACAAAGCCAGAATCTTTCACCAGGAGACTGAAGGTGATGGTTGAATGAGTGGGGGATTGGCTAAGAAAGTTTCTACTGAGCTGTTTTCACCTTGACTTCATAAGAGAAAGGACACTTGAGCACTCTGAGTCTCAGAATAACAGTGTCCCCGAAAAAGGACACTTGGTAACATTTTGCCAACCTCTATTTCTGTTGTGTGTCTGTAGTTCTCTACATATCAACCACTTCTGGCCCTCACCCATGCGCTAAGAATCAGCAGTCACTGATCTGTTCATGTTGATCTCTAGGCATCTCTGTCCCGAGTCTCAACTGTCATGGACTTGTGTTTTCCTGAGGGCCTCTGGATGCTGAGTATGTCACTCAGGCCCCTATGGGCATCTGCCAGTTGTGGAAAGAGCCCCTTTACTCGGAGAGATTCTCCTTGGCTGGCATGAGTCCCTACCAAAGTGGAAAGTCTACTGTGACCACATCCTCACATGACCTTGTGCTGAGGTTTTTCAGCTTTTCTATCAGGAAAGGGTGACTGCTAGCTGGGTGCGGGGGCACATTCTGCAATCCCAGCACTCCAGTAGGCTGAGGCAGGAGGACTGCAAGTTCACATCCTACTTGGGCAACTTAGCAAGACTCTGTCTCAAAAAATAATACAAAACTGGCTGGGGATATAACTCAGTGAAAAGGGCCTTGGCTTAATCCTTAATACCACCAAAAGAAAAGAAAAAGAAAAAAAGAAGAAAGAAAGTGTGACTGCTCATTTTTTTTTGCTGATGGAACAGAAAAACTGTTCCCAAAGGTCAGAAATAAAGAAGAGATGTTTGGAATCTTGTGGAATAGAAAACCTATGAGCAAAGCAGAGCAAAGCCTTCTTTCATGTTCACTGCAGATCCCAGAATACTAGACAAGCCCCTCAAAGATTCTGAAGGCTCCCTCATCCTCAGAACTCCATCCATCCCCTAGCATCTTCCTTGTCTTCTGTGTCTCAAACCCATCTATCCCCATTTCTATCATTTCAAACTTTTAATGAAAAACTTTAATTATAAAATATGTGATGCACATTGTATGTTTATATCGTGGGTGTGTATGTTATACAGGACAATAAAATACCCATGCACCTACCACTCTACTGAAGAAATGGAACATGACCAAGGTCATCGATGACACACAGCTTATTATTTGCCTTTGTTTTTCCTACATGGAGAAACATACATGCACCTGGTGCCTCTAAGGTCTACGACAGCTCCTGGCCCACTCTCTTTGCCTTCAAGTGAATTAGCAAAGTGATCAGCTGTCTCTATGTTGTAGGTCTTTCCACACTGAACTGACAAGTCTCTATACCTCTTCCTATTTTAATAGTATTTGTTGCTTCCAATAAAACCACAAGGCAAGGACCACACTTGTATGTTGTCTTACTTATTTTTCTCTCAATGCTCAGACAAAATACCCAACACCCACAAGTTAAGGGAGGAAAGATTTATTTAGCTCACAATTTGCGCAAGTTTCAGTTCATAATCGGCTGGCCCCCAGGCAGGTGGATTTGCAGAGGAGAAACAGTTCATGGTGTGCAGAAGGTACCAAAAGCAACAGGGAGGAAGACAAGCCTCCTTCTGTCCTTTATATCATATCCAGGCTACTGGTATTAGGGTGGTGCCAAAGCAATAAGTGGACTGATTTAGTAATCACCCACCCTTAATCCTAACATTGCACATGAATCAGTCACACCCTCTAGACTCAGCCACCTCTAAAAACACCCCACCTATGACTGCGTGAGGGTTTGGGGGGACACCTAGACACAAACCATGACATGTGTTATCTTAAAATCTTTTCCTTGCTGGCACTTCCATGAAGAGTACTATTCTCTCTCAAGGTGCTAAGAGTTACTGAGACAAAGAAGCAATAGTTACAACCCCTGGTTCTGAGTCCAGTGTCCCTGGTCTTTAAAAGAAGTTGCAAAGTTCAGATGGTGTACTCACTTGAAACTTCACACAGGCTTTGCAGAATAACAAGCCACCAAGGCAGAAAAGCAAACCCCAGAGACTTTCTGTCCCTGTGTGGAAATTCCCTGCTATCTGGCTGTGGCAAGTGAAAGTAGAAGTAGCAGACAGGTAGGTAAAGTGTTTTGTTCTAAGATACAGGAAGGCATAAGAGCAGATGAGAGGGAGAGTCGGGGTAAATTGAGGGTGATTCCACCCAGCTACAGCACGGGTGTCTGTAAACCTTGGCTTGTGTTCCTGGGCTTATTATCTGTCCTGCAGCTGGTTTTGATGGAGGTGAATCCCTGGGGGGTCTTGTTGCTTGGCTCCTCCACCCTGAGGCCCAGTCACTGGTGGCTCATTGCACTCAGACCTGTTGAGCAGCTCTGGAGGCAGCATCCTGAGCCTGCTTTGTGACTGAATGTCTCTCACTGGTGTGGATGCTGCCTTGGTGTTTGCCCTGAGCTAGGCTGATATTGTCCCTAGGGCTTCATTAGAATTTTTGGTGGTCTGTAAGAGTAAGGGTTTTGGGGAGCTTCCAGTCCTTTGAGCACCCTGTGGTCCAGGGAGGGTTGTGGCAGTGTGATAGTTGGGAAGATCTGGGGCTGGGTCAGGTCAGAGCCTCAGGTTGGGATTCTGTCTTTGTTACTTCCTGAGTGACCTTGGATGACCACCAAATATCTCTCAAGCCTCTTTGCTCCTCTGCAAAATGGTGCTCACGAGTTTTCCCTTACCCATGGTGGGTGTGTTCCCAGACAAACCTGCCCAGAGAGAAGGAGCCTCTCTGGGGGGACCGAGAGAAACTGAACCCACAGAACTGACCCTACAGGCCACACACTGGACTTCTATCCATGCTCTAAAGTAATGGCAACCTGTGACCCTCTTCGTAAAGCCCCTGTCTCTCCTGATTCTACCCCTCTGCTCCTCCATCTTGCTTGGATTTGACCTTAGATGATTTAAAAAAAAAATCCTTGTGCATCATTTTGCTCCTCTGTAAAGCGCAATTAAAATAGGACTGTTGTAGGATTAAACAGTTTAATATGTGAAAGTATTCAGAGCAGTTCCCAGCATGTAAGAGCCATCTAGGATTTACTGTATTTATTTGGATTTCCATCATATTAGCTGTGGCCTTCGGTGAGTAACTATTTTTTACATCTGGTCTCCATTTGCTATCTGTAATATGGAATTAATGATAGCACCTACTGGAAAAATCATGTGGTAAGTATGAAGTGTCATAGCAGCTATGAAAGACTTTTTTTGTAGGCTGGAAAATGCTGTAAAAACAAGCCATATGTGGGCATGATTTTAATACTAGTACAAAATCAGAGAAGAGGACCCAGAGAAGGCGGAATAATCTGGGTACTAAGGAGACAGAGGAGAAATATGCCTAAGGGGCTATGTCTCATCAGGGTTGAGACCGTTCCAGCACGTTTATTTCCTTGCAAGTCTCACACGGTCTTCGAGTGTGAGCTTGGGAACAGGGTAGAAGAGACAAGGCAGCCGGTTCCAGACTTTCCCCTGGGAGTATTGCTCTGACTGTGACAGATCTGCTTTTTAATAAACAGAGCTGCTAGGGAGTAATGGGGCTGCAAAATTGAAGCAGAGCAGGGAAGGAGAAGAGGATAAGAAAGGTTTATGGCTTCTTTGCTTTTAAATGACCCACAAAAAAGATGAGGAGAGACAGAGAACATGAATACATGATCATTAGCTTTGCCTACAGTTTATGAGAGGAGGTTTGTGTGTGTGTGTGTGTGTGTGTGTGTGTGTGTGTGTGTTTGTGTGTGTCTGTGTGTGTCTGTGTCTGTGTAGGTGTGTGCACATGCATATTTTTGCATGGTGATCAGGGTCAGAGGACTAGAAAGCAAGAGGAAATATGAACTCAAATGAAACCATATTCAAGACACGTAAAATGTGCTAGCACATTTGCAGAAGCCTAGATTATTAAATAACATCCCCATGTGATAGGTAGAAACTGTCTGTTAACAATCAGATGTACAAATAGGAAGGGAGGGAGTAGTTTCTGGCATCAAGGTCAGGGAAATAGGAACTATTAGCTAGAGGAATTCTTAGCCCTGCTGGTCTCAGAATAGTTAACCTTATTTTGACTGCACCCCTTAGTATCTCGCTACCTTCAGGCGCAGGCTGAGGTGTGAGCAGGCTCAGATTAGTGTGATCACATCAGGGGTTAATGTTTCCAGTTCTGTGATTTGTTGCTGGCTTGAAGTTCTCCCATTTGGTCCAGAAAAGTTCCTCTGGTTGGCAAATGGGAGAATGCTCCAGGGCTGGTCTCAGTGGGGGAACTGTAACCCCCAGTACTTGCAAGTTAGCAAAAGAGCTGTAATCTTCATTTTCACTTGCACCCCTAGGGATTGTTTTTCCTGCCTAAGAAGGGTGAAGAAGGAAGCAGGGAGCATGTTGGGATATGTTCAGAGCCACTTCAAGTGTCCATCGCAACAGTTCCCAGCCTGGATCTTTTCTTTAGCTGTTTATTCCAGCAGAGCTGAGTTTCCTGCCTCAACAATGCAGGAAGTCCAAGCCTTTCCCCAGAAAAGCTTACAGGGGAAATGTCAGCTTCCAACTTAGTAAGTCTCAGATATTTTCTTAGAAAATACCCCAAGGAATCCAAATTAAAGGACATAGTGCTCAAGGGAGGAAAGCCTAGGGATTTTGGAAAATGTCTGAGATGCTGGGCGGAGTCATCATCATTTCCTGTTATAGCTATCCTGGAGAAGCAGCCAGTTCCTCACCCCAAGGCAGCTGGGAATTGGGCAGGACTGGCCACTTAGTCCAAGGAGTCCCAGATGGCCCCAGCCTGTCAGTGATGTAATATACACTTCATTTGTTTATCCATAGCCTTCAGAGCAAGCGAGAGAGGAAAACAAGCAAATGGAAACATTGCAGAAAGCAGCTAGCTGTACTTGGCTTCCTAGTTTTTTCCTGAGCTGAGGATGGAAATAATCTGGATAACTGCAGGCTATAACTGCAGCTTTGAGTGTGAACACTCTTTTGTGACAGGGCATACATTTGTCTGTGGATTTTTGGACCACAGCACTGTAGTCTGTTAATATTGTGTACTGGGGCAAAAAAGCCCCTGAGGGATACAGCGTGGTAGAGGAAAACAGAATGGTCTTTTGCTCATTTATTTGTCCTAACCTCATAAACTTTCTCTGGAGGGAAGATCAATGGTGTTGTACCCCAACCCTTTTCTAGGGTCAGTGGGTGACAGCTCCATGGGGGAGGGAGGCTGCTGGTGTGTGGAATTCTGTCTCTCTTATATTGAAGAATAAGAGGCCATAAGTGTGAAAGAACACTTCAAACTGAGACCATGAGTGTGACCTCTTATTCTTGGGTCTTCCCACCACATCTTCCCTTTCTTAGGGCATTTCAGGGACTGCCTGTATAGTATTATAGCAATTTGGGTGTGTGCCTTATAGGCCACAAGCTTGCTAAAGGAGGGAACAATTTTGTGTCTCTAGAGTGTCCAGCATAATTGCTTGTGATTTGGAAATGCTCAATTGATGTTTGCTGAATGAATAGGTGAGGCAGGTGGAATACAGAGAAATATAGTGATCCCATGGTGAATAGTGGAAGAAGGAAGTGAGGGATAGGTACAAGGGAGGAGGAGGGAATGTGAAAAAGATTCCCTGCTTGCTTTTGCCCTTCACCTGTAGGAATTGTTGCAGCAGACTCAGAAGAAATGGAAACACTTTGAAAGACAGAGACCTTTTGCCTTTATTTGCCACTAATCCCCTTTCATTCAACAAGGACCAAAGCTTGGATCAATGGAGGGACAGCCTATGTCTTTTTGAACCCTAGTCTATCTGAGATGCTGCAGAGAAAACTGATTCTGTACTTGTTGGAACAAGCTTGACATGTGGATATTCATCAGAATGCTTAGGAAGGAAGCACTTGAACTGAAGTCCCTCTGTTCTGACTCACTGCATCCGGGGCAAAATCTTGCTCTTTGTATTCATTTCTCCAGAGCTCAAGGTCAGAGCTGGCACAGCAAAGACTCAAATCTGGGCTGTTCCTGAGCTTCAAATTGGCATCACTGCCCTGGATGGCTCCTGAGACCATACTGGTAACAAGGCAGGACAGAAATTCTCTGAGGCAAAGAGCAGCACAATTGCTTACATGGTTTAAATTATTTAGTTGCATCAAATATTCAGATTTGTGAGAACAACAGCAACTCTGTTTAAAAGCTCCAAGCATGTGATAGATGAACTCAGTGTTTCTTTGTTGCTTTCAGGATCCAGCCTCCACCCCAGGAATCTCCTAAGAGTTATTCAGGCTCCACTGGGTCAGGCTCCAACTCTTGGGATGAGCTAAACTACAAGTGTCATCCCATGCCAGTGATATTTGACAAAGGCTCTTCATGTAAGTGGATTTTAATGAGAGGTTTCATTGTGCCCTGTACCTTACCTCCCTGAGAAAGGAGATAGTCAACTTGGAAGCCAAGGTTGGGATGTTCACACAGAAGTCACGCTTTTTATATAGGTGGGTTGGAGAGCTAAATCATATGAAATTTTGCCTGTGAAATATGTGTGGTTTTGAGGTTACTTTGTGTGAAACTGCTGCTCCTCTCACAAAGCTTTCTCATTTTAAATGAGACCGAATGCAACACCTGCTCAAGTTGCTTTAGAGCCCAAGATGAGTGCCCTAATAACAATAATAATTTATTAAATGCTTCCTATTTCCCAGATATTATATGTGTGATTAACATTATATTATCTAATACCCTCACTCAAAGAATAATGAGCCAGGTATTGTTCTTCCTATTTTATAACTTGAGGAAGCAAAGTTCACAGATGTTCAAAATCACATCAAGGACTAAATGATTCCAAGCTTCAGGTTTCTTCCCATCATATTACAATGTTTCCTCTCTGGCAATAGTTTAGGATTATCCTACATAAAATTTAACTGCCCTGTCCAAAACTTAGAGGGTACTTCTTACTCTGTGAAGGTGAAGAAGGAGGAATAAGAGAGGGGAACAGACAGTTTTCTGGGAAACTGCCAAGTTTCCATGTTTTTATAATTAGTCA